AGATTAAATAAAACAAATACAATATATTAAAGTAATAATAATATAATCAAAAAAAAAATTAAAAAGATAAAGAGTAATATTGCTATCGAGTGATATTGCTATCTCACTTTAGCGAGCAATCGATTCACCCGCATGCAACGATGCTCCATGAACGGAGAAATCGTACGAACATCCGGAGCTTGATTATAAATTATAATTATAAAAGAAATAAGAACTTTTTCCTTTATTTTCTTCTGTATAAATAAATAATTCACAATATAGATATTCCAAGAAATAAAAAGGAAGCACGTGCAATACAATATATCGGAGTGATACCAACACATGTGATACAGATTATACTTCCGAGTACAGAAGACAAGATTCAAGAAAAAAGTATGCTTACTGTGATGATTAATATTGTTGAACAAATTATTAGCCATTCTCATATAGATTATTCCTATATCCAAATCTGTTTTTATTTTTCCAAATCATTTATTCTGTAAACAAAAATTATAATACTTCTGAATTAAAGGTATTATAGTATTTTCATCACGTTTTATATATCAGTATATTCATAAAATATAAAAATATGCAAAAATATTGAATATCAAATTAAATGACAAGGATTTCTTTCAATTTATAAATATTGAAAAAGTTAAATATCTTTTATATTTTTAATATAGATTTTTTTATAATATCTGACTTATTTTGTAAATTATATTTATTTCTAGATGATACAAGACAATGCAATTATAGAAGAACTCTTCGAGATTTACGTGAAGTTTATGCTAATTTTTTGATTGTTAGTAGATAGATATCATTTTGTCTTGGTAGTATTTATTTATAATAATAACAATATTATTATTTTATGTTAGTAGATTAATATACATATTATTAAGATATAATAATAAATTGTATATAATATTTTACCATAATAAATTTTACTTAGCAATGATTTTATAAGCTACTTAAATGATCACTTCTATATTAAATTAAATGCTATTAATTTTGTTATATTGAAAATTAAAAATTATTTCTTTAGGAAGTTGAAGCTGGTACTAAGACAATTCAAGATCTAGGAAAGAATTGCGCGGAATTATTGAAAGTTAAAAGACATTATGGAGCTCCATCACTCTTTCGCATTGTACTCATAGGTCCTCGAGGATCAGGTCGTCGTTCTTTAGCAAAACATATATCTGAGAGGTTTAATCTTGTTTATGGTAAAATAATATAATAATTTTCAGTAACACTTATTTTAAAGGAATATTAGATTATAAATAAATTTTACTAAAAACAATGTATTACTTATTTATATTTCACAATATTCTTTGCCTCACACACACCCACACCCACCCACACACACACACACACACACACACACACACACACACACACACACACACACACACACACATACAATAATAA